TAGTTAAGCAACACAAACCTCCATTAGAAAAACTTTGCTTTGGCATTGATTATATATTTTAAAAAAAATATAGTCACAGATCATAATCATATATATCATATATATTAAGAGTGTTTAGAAAAAAAGTTTTTCGGATTTTAAAAAACCAATCCATTTAAATTTGCAAAAAGTATGAGTAAACTATCTCCATCAATCAATGGTAGGTCTTCGCAAATGGCAGTCGCGTTTTTTTAACGATTAAAGCGAAAAAGAAAAGATAAATATAAAATATAAAGATTAAAGATAAAACTAAATTATAATAACAAATAAATAATTATTTATTTTATATGCATAAGTAATTCGTTAACAATCTTAAAATCATCTTTAAACAAACGCACATAAAAAGTTATACAAAAAAAAAAGAAAAGAAAAATAGAACTTCGAATTTAAAAAAAAAAAAGGAACACTTATTAAAACTTTTAATTAAAATTTATTAAAAGAAAACAAAAGAAAACTAAAGAACGAAAGTAAAGTAAACAAACAAAATAAAAAGTAAAAAGTAAAGAAAAGAAAAAAAAGGGAAGAAATAAGTAAACTAAGAACAAAGAAAGAAGAAGAAACAATAGTAGTGATAGAAGATTGAAGTGAAATCTTAGAAGAATTGAGTTTGTTTATTTTAAAATACGCTTTTAATTTAATTATTCTTATTTTATTATTATTATTTTTTTTTTCTAGCTTTGGTTTTGTTTGTTTTTTCTTTTTTTTCTTTTATTGTTTATTGTTATATATACTTGTTATTATTATTATTATTGTTATTATTGTTATTAACTTGTTATTATTATTATTATTGCTATTATTTTTATTATTATTATATATCTATATAGTTTGTTAACTTAATTTCTTTAGTTTTATTTTCACTTATCAACTTATAATACTAAGTATAAATTTAATAGTTTATTATTATATTCTTTCACTTATTATAATTTGAATATTTTACTTATATTTATTCATAATTTTTAATTATTTGAATTTAATTTATTTTATACTTATAATTTAACTAATTATAACTAATTTATAATATATATTTACGTTATTCTTCCCTAACTTTATTAATAGTATATTTTCATTATTTGTTTTAATTGTTAAATAAAAATTTATTTTTATTTTATTATTTTATTAATTGAATTATAATTATATTATTAATAAATACTATTATTATTTTTATTATTTTTGGTTATACTGAAGTTCATATTACTGTTTGTTTCAATCATTTCATTTTACAAACTGTACTACTTAAATGTCTACTCACTGCAAAGATTGTTTCAAGAAAATTAATAAAAACCATCACTACCTTCAATGTAATCATTGCCTAAACCTTTTTCATAAAAAAAGCTGTCGTCTGAATGATATGGAATTTAGGATATTAAAAAACTCTAAAATATCTTGGCTCTGTATTTCATGTAGGAAATATGTTTTTCCATTTAGTTCTTTATCTCCTAAGGAGCTGCGTCTGCAAATAATAAATGATAAAGTGATTCATATTAATGAACTCTCAAACAACATATCATCTTTTCCAAACACCATAGAATCTAATCTTTACAATGAACTTAATAATTTCATTTCTCATCAACTTAATAACAACAATGACAATGACGTAAACCTTGAAGAAAACCCTATTAATTGTAAATATATTTATACTATAAATATTTATATATAAAATAAAAATATTTATATAAATATAAAAATTTATACTATATAAATAAATGTAAATATATATATACATTAAATGCTTCAACTTTGCCAACATCTACAAAAATAGTTTTTCTCTTTTTCATTTAAATATTGCTTCTCTTGTTAAAAATTTTGACGAATTAAACTCACTCTTATCTCTTATTAACCATGAATTCAGTATTATTGGCATAACTGAAACTAAACTAAAAAATGACATCTTACCAACTATCCCATTAAATCTTATCGGTTATGTTTATGAGCACACTCCGACAAAATCTTATTTTGGAGGTGCCTTACTTTATATATGTAATACATTAACTTACAAACCTCGAAATGATCTTAATATGTTTAAACCAAAGTTTTTAGAATCTGTGTTTGTGGAAGTCATATTTCTTAAGAAGTCAAACATCACTGTTGGCTGTATTTATTGCCATCCTAGTATGGATATTTATTAAATCATAATTAATTTCACTTTTTGAAAAGCTATCTATGGAAACAAACTAAACTAGTTTTTTAATGGGTGATTTTAATGTCGTTCTTTTGTTAGCAAACTCAGATAATCACCTCTCTGAATTTTTAGACACCATTGCTTTGAATAACTTTTTTCCCTTTATTTCATTGCTAACAAGAATCACGAATCACTCTAAAACTCTAATTGTTAAAATATTTTCTAATGCAACTTTTACAAATATTTTTGCTTGTAATTTTACTTCTACGGTATCAGATCATTTACCCCAATTTTTAATACATCCATTTTATAGAACCAAAATTAATCCTTGCAAAGCTGTATTTTTCGTCTGAATTTTAAAAAAATAAATTACGAAGAATTATGTTGTGATTTCTCAAAAATTAGCGGGGCTAATGTAATAAATGTCAATGAAGGTAAGACTAATAAGTCATTTGAAGATTTTTTCACAAATTTTAATTCTCTTTTAGATAAACATGCACCATTAAAAAAAATCAGCAATCGCTGCTTATCAAGGGGTCTTAACAAGAGGAATCTTGACATCAATTAAAATACGAAACAAAATATTTAATAAGTTTTTTAAACCAAAGAATCCTAAAAACAAACTCAATCTAGAAAAATCATATAAAACATATAGAAACCTACTTGTTACTCTCACCCGTCGTAGTAAAAAGAACCATTACTCTAAGTTCTTCTCTGAAAATTTGAAATCTACATAGGATGGTATTAGGAACCTTTTAAACATTAGTTCGAGAGTTAACTCATATCCTTCTAACAACTCCATGATATACGACCCCATTAAAATTTCGGAATGTTTTAATTTATTCTTTATTTCATTTCCGGAAGAATTACAGAAAAAGATTCACTCATCCAATACGGACTTAAATAAATATCTTAAAAATCCTAGTCTTACATCAATATTCATAAAACCTACAGACAAAAACGAAATATAATCTATTATTCATTCTCTTAATGACAGCAAAGCTTTGGGACCTAACAGCATTCCAATACCTACTTTTAAAACTCTTGCAAATAATATCTCTCCTGTACTTTCTGAACTATTTAATCTGTCATTTATCACCGGTGTATTTCCTGATATTTTAAAAACTGCTTCTATTATTCATAAAAATTCATAAAAAAGACTCAAAACTTGAATGTAATAACTACAGACCAATTTCATTATTATAAAATGTCAGCAAACTTTTAAAAAAACTTATGTATTCTCGTATTTACAACTTTTTGAATAATTCTGCTTGTTTTCATATTCGACAGTTTGGATTTCGCTCAAATCACTCCACTTCTCATGTTCTTATTAGCATTGCTGAAATGATTCGTGGTGCAATTGACAGTGGTTTCTTTGCTTGTGGTCTATTCATAGATCTTCAAAAAGCTTTTGATACGGTTGATCACAACATTCTAATAAAAAGTTAAACCACTACGGAATACGTGGTATTGCTAATCATTGGTTTTCTTCATATATTAAGGATCGCACTCAGTTTGTTTCAATTAATGGATTTGAATCCATTTGTTTGGGGTCAAAAAAAAAACTTTTTACTTAATAGGATTGCTAGTTTACAACGCACATCTATAAGGATAATGGCGTTTTTGCCAATGAAATCAGATATCCAAAAAAAACTGAAAATCCTAAAACTCCATGATCTTGTAAAGTTTTAAAATTGTCTTTTTGTGTTTGACTTTCTCCAAAATAAACTACCAAACTCATTTTTAAACTTTTTTAATAAAGCAAATGAAATTCATTATCATCACACCAGGAATACAGAAAATAGTAAGCTATACTCTTCTATTTTTAACACAATCAAATGTGGTAAGTTTTCCATAAAACAACAATGTATTTCCGAGTGGAACCAGTGTATTCCTGCATTAATAAAAACGTCTAAAAATAAATTTCCCCTTGTTACGGATTTTTTACTGCTCAACAGAATTCAATTTAAAAATATATTGTTAGAGTGCATTTCTTTGTAATTTATCTCTGTACTGTAGTTGTCTTTATTATATAATTTCTTTAACGAGCGAGTGGTTTGATTGTTGCTTTATTTATTATTTATCTATATTATATTTATTTATTATTGTGTTATTATTGCTACTTTTAATGTTATTATTATTTTTAATTATTATCTATGGTATGTACATACAATTTATGTTGTATTATAAGTATTTTTAATATTATTGTTATTATTTTGTATTATTACTGTATTTATTATATATATATCATTATTATTTGTTTAATAATCTTTTTTTTTTTTTTTTTTCTCACTTATTATATACATTTTTTTTTTCTCTTTCTTATATCTTTATTTTTTTTCGAGAATTTTTTTTTTTTTATCTCTTTATTTTTTCAAAAATTTTATGTTTTTAAGGTGTCACTCCATTGACTAGTTTGTAACTATATGAGTGACACCTAACCAAATACTATTAATTTAATTTGTAAATTTTTGTTGATATGGTTGGAAAAAAAAAATTAGCGCCATTGAATCACTATTTCTTCCCCTCAAAGGGCATATTTGGAAATAAAAAGACCTCAAAATGACTAAAAGTGTCATAGGGGCAAGAATAACATAAATATTTTAAATAATTTTTAAAAAGAACAAAATCATTGGTGATTTTGGCTAACAGTACTTTAAATCGTATCAAAATGTTTTGAAATTTATACAACTATATACAAACTATTATTAATGATTTGTTCCTTTAAAAAGGTAAAAAGTAAATTTAGGATAAACTACAGATATATTTATTTAGCTCCATTAGTATTTTTGGTATATAAGTTTTTGTTTGCTAGGAGTAACAAATTTAACTTATTATTTAGAGACTTCAAATTTATCAAAGATATCTTCTAGTTTATCCGCTACAAAAGGTAACTATAAAAGCTAATTTCTTTAACTTCGTCTAATATATAATAAATTTTAATATGTTTGAGTCTCTGATCAACAAAATTCTATCATCTTTTTTTGAGTCAAATAATTTTTTGTCAGACAATTAAGGCATATTCGATCTTTTCAATTTAATACTAAGTTGCTAACTTTTGTGACTGATTATTTTATAAATGCAACTTGGCTGAGGTTTTTGCTCTTTACATATTTATACATTGTAACTTGTAATTGTATTGTAACTTATCTACAATAATGATCTTACTGTCAACATTACATCTGAAATGGCACTATTTGCTGATATTATTACTATTTAAAAACATAACAAATAATATCACTCTGTTTTTAAGGGTATAAGTTAAATAGCTCATTCATGCGCAATTTAGTTTTTGGTCTCTGTGCCATTATTTATTATTTAGTGTTTCAAAATTTTTAAAACTTAATACAAACTAGTATTGATGATTTCTTACTTTAAAAAGAAAAAAAAAGTCTTTGACTAAATGCAGATATAACTATTTAGCTACATTAAAAATCTATTAGCTACATAATGAATCTGTTTTGTGTTAACAAGTTGTTACAATAAAGAAATCACTAATAAAGCGCAATGACCTAAATAAGATAAGGGAAAAATATCTCTTAGTTTTTTGAACAAGTTGGCAAGAATGATTTGTTTTTTAAAAAGGAGAAGAAAAAGAATATAGGACAAACTATAGATCTATTCGTTTAGTTCCATAAGTATTTTAATATATAAATTTTTGTTTGTTAGAAGTAACAAATTTAACTTATTTATTAGAGACTTCAGTTTTATCTGAACTATCTTCTAGTTTTTTTGCTACAATAGGTAATTATAAAAGTTGTTTTCTTTAACTTTACCTAATATACGTTCACACATAATTCATCTCAGTCTCTGATCAACAAAATTCTAACATCTTTTTTTGAGTCAATAAATTACTTTTCAGACAATTGATGCAATTTTAATATTTTCACTTTTATATTATATTGCTAACTGTTGACTGATTATTTTATAAAGGCAACTAGTTTGAGGCTTTTGCTCTTTTCATATTTATCCATTTTTCTGTATTGTTACTTATTTGCATTAATGACCTTCCTGTCACCTTGTATTGAATACAAACTGGTATTGATGATTTGATACTTTAAAAATAAAAACAAAAAATTTGTTTGACTAATTACAGATATACTTATTTAGCTGTATAATAAAATTTTTCTTTGTTATGAGTAATGGCTGCAATTTTTTATTTAGATACTTCAGATTTACCAGGATTTTCTCCCAGTTTTTCAAAAGGTAGTATTAAAGTTTTCATATTCATTCTAATATTTCAGTGTCTTTGAGTTTTTGATCAACAAATTTCTAACATGCTTTCATAAATCAGATTACTTTTTTTTCAGTAAGTCTTAATAGTGTTTATCTTTGGTTCGCTAATAATCTGGTAATCTGGCTGGTTCGCTAACTGTTTTGATGTTTTATTTTTATTTAGTTTTATATGTATGTTTAATTTAAATCTTTTGTTGGTTTAAAGTAATTTTTCTTATAAACTATTTAGAGATTTATAGAAGTCACTAATAAAGCGCCTTGTCCTAAGTAAGATAATGGAAAAAAATATGTATACAATAAATAAATAAAAAGGAATAATAATACAAAACAGAGCTCGAGGATTATTTGATAAACAAGTTTTTCAAAGATTATTCATTCGTTTTCATTTTATTCTTTAAACGATTACTGAATGAATAATAATCGTTCAACATGTAAAAACTTTACCAATATTCCTTGTAAAAGCTTTACCAATATTCCAAACAAATATTTGTTCCTGCTTATTCGTTGTACAAATAAAATAATCGCTCAGCAAATAAGCAGTTGCGAATATATTCGTTAAAAAAAGAAGACGTTTAATTTAGAACATTGGTCACTGGCTTAGATATATCTACAACAATTTTCAGATTTAGTTATGCTACATCGCCGAAGTTGGTGTTTAATAAAGATTTTAAAATTTTTTTTGAACTTTTTTCATTTTCTTCTGATCTATCTACTTGTGACAGACCACCTAATGGTAATATTATTATTTTCATTTAAAACTTTTTTTTTTTAATTTTCAGCATCACCAAGTTGATTGTTGTGTCTTTTTCAGAGCTTAAAACTTGTGAAATTTACTCAATTAGATCAAGACATCCAATAATACCTTTAATGATAATATTATTTCTACAACTGTGAGCATCCGACCTTCATATTTAGTTGACATTTCTGCCATAATAGCCAAGCGCCTTTTTAGATCAATAATGTAATTTAATTGCCTCAAGTCAGAATTCCAACAAGTTGGTACTTTCTGGATAAGTTTAGTTCGTGGTTGCTTATGCTCCATAGCAATTTTCCTCAAAATACTCATGGCCAAAGAAGAATGACTGACAAACTTTAGATCTATTAGTTTAGTTTACTTTATTGCACATGTTGTGAATCTTGCAAGCACACACAATGCTTTGCAGCATTTTTCAATCAAAAAATCAAATTAGTTCATGCAAAGAGTAAAACCTGCTTTTTCAAAACACAAAAACATCACTCTATAACTTGTCTGGTTTTTTGGTACGCATCATTGAACTGATGCTTAGTTTAGAACCAACAACTTAAAAACTGTGTATTTTTTACTGTAAGGTGTGATGAGCCAATTGCTGCAGGGGTAGCCTTAATCACCTAAGACAACTGCTTTAGGAAAAATTTGTTCACCAGGGACTTCAAAAGCATCCCAAATTGCTGATTGAGGTAACACCTAGAATGTTTAAATAAGAAATCTAAATTTTTCAGACTTGCTGGTTATTAATATACTAAATACACTAATATGAAAAGTGTAGAAAGTATAATATTTGTAAAGTATAAATTTTTACATGTTTCAAAACAAAATATTAAAATCGTTTATGTATAAACAATATCTATTTTAGATAAGAAACAAAGTCTGACAAAATAAAAACTTTATAATACTAGTTGTATACTTATCTGTTTACTTTTCAATATAATGTTATTTAGATAAATAATTATCTATAATAAATTATTTATGTAAATAACATTAAATAAATAATAAACTATATAAATAATAGTATTAAGCTAAAATTCAACAAAAAGTTCAATTAAATTTAAATAGAATCAAAAGCCATCACCTAGAATCATGCCATTTGGGTAAACATAATAAGTAAACAAATCTGGTCCTCAAAGCCAAAGGATTTTCATCTTTTGATGGAGGAATGATGGTGTGTGACTTCCTTCAATGCAACCACATATACTTAGAATCTGTGTCATAGTGTAAAACTTACTGGGCAGGTAAATAATAATTACTGGGCAGTCAATAAATGAATTTTTCTTGTCAACATAACTAACAATCCAGAACTGTATAAGTTGTGCTCAATTGCTGTATCTTTTCCAACAACATGACTATCTTGTTTAACATGATTAAAAAAATTCTTCCAAAATTCCTTTTTTGTCATTTTTTTGCTCTATTTTATTTTAAATCAGTTTTTTTGATTGGTTAGCAACATTCTATCTAGGTATCTATGACATTAAACTTTGTATGGTTTTGTTGTTTTTATAATATATGACGTCAAAACGTCAAAAAAAGTTTTTTTAAGTCCTAAACCTATTAGAATTGATATTAGGTTTGCTGTTATCTTAGCGATGTCAAATCATAAAAGAAAAATTATTTTTATCTGTGTACATATGTTTTGATTTCAGCCTTTGAAAAGTTATTTAAACTATGTCTGCTTATTGACTTTTGAATCAAATAAAAGTTTTTTTCTTGCAAAATAAAAAATAACTATCAAAAGAAGGTATTGTTAGATGACATACAAGATTTTGTGCTCACGAACAACCTCAAGCCCTACAAAAATAAAATTATATCAGATATTAAAGGCACCCTCAAGTCTGTCACTCTGGCTCATGGAAGTTTTAAAATGATGCAGTTTATGTCATAATTTTTTTCTGAGATTAAAAACTAAAATCCTTACCAAAACTACATCAATGCTGGTGTTTGTTTTGTGTACGGACCAAGTCAGAAACAGCCTATTTTTAGTCGGAAAAGCAAATGCTTCCATACAGGAGGCTAAAAATACAAAAATTTCAAGTTCTCACTTTCACCTATTTGCATTTATGTCAGTTCACATTATAAAATTTACGCTTATTCAGCCTTCAAAATAATAAAGGTATAAAAAAGGCATGAAAAATTTTATGTTAATGAAGAAGTTATTGAAGCATTCAAAAAGAAAATATTAAAGTTTTTTGTAAATGAAAAAAAAAAAAGAAAGTAGCTGAATGTTAATTATATTGCTCCTTAGTTTAAAACCTTTAACTATTTTCATAAAAGTATTGTGTGTGAAAGCTTTAATTTATTAAAGGTGTTTTGTGTTTAGGAATTAAATAATATTAAGCAGACCATTTTTTCCTTGGAATAATAGCTAACTTGGTTACTTGCCGGAGTACATAATATCAATTATCATTTTTGTATTCAATTTCAAAGAAGCTAAACTATTTTTTTGTTGGCTTTGTACAATCAACTGTCAAATTGCCAAATTGAATTGATCAACTGTCAAATTGTCAAATAGAATATGCATTAAATTTCTTGATTTTATATTTAAGTTTTTAGATACTTGTTACTTAGCTCCAGCTTTTTAATATATGGTTTGATTTTTTAATCAATGAATCTAAGTCAATGAAGTGATAATGTTCACAATATATAAGTGTTGGTTAAATTTTTATAAAAATATATTTATCCTTAAATAAAAATTTATGTTTTTGAAATATTCTTAGAACTTTTAGTGCTCATTCTGTGTTATTAATGTTTATAAATAAAAGATCTAGATCATGCGCACTTTGGATATCAGTATATTAAATTATTACATGTTTTGAAATTACAACTATATACAAGCTATTATTGATGATTTTTTAATTTTTAAAAGAAAATAAAAGACACAGGACAAATTACAAATATATTTATTAAATGTCAAAGTTTTTGTTTCTTAAAAGTAATAACTTTAATAGATTCTTCAAAAACTTTAGATTCACCAGAAATATCTGTCAGTTTTTCTGCTAAAAAAAGTAATTATTAAAGTTAATTTATTTAAATATAATAACCAGTATTTTTTTCAATTATATACAGCTATATCTAACAAACATGTATTTTGTATGTAAATTTTTGAAATATGTAAATTCTTTAAATAGTACATTCAACATGATTTTGCATGTGTGCAATTTTTCTATTTCTACCTTTTTACCCTTAGGTCTTCATTAAGGTGTGGCATGTTAAGAGTTATTTTATTAGATGATAAATTTACTATAAATAGAAATTATTAAAATAAAATAATTAGAACATCAATTTTTTTCTGATGCTACAACGTTTTTTAGTCTGTTAATTACTTGTTAATTATAAAAACATTTTATTTTTAAAAAGTTTAGACATTTAGGTTTTTGCAAAGCGAAAATATTTACTGATGTTTTACAGAACTAACATACATGTTCCATGTGAACCTACTAACTCTTGCTTTTCAACCTAATTTTTGAGAAAGCTGATTAGGACAATATTTAAAGAAATATTTTTAAATATAAAAGAAACAACAACATGATTTTGTATGTTTCTAATTCCATACCCTTTGTTTTCCTTAAAGTGTGTATGTTAAAAAGTTATTTTTTACCATAAGTTTTGTTAATCATTTTGCTATATCAAAACAAACTTGTAGACGTCAGGTCATAGACTCTATGCTACAATGTTATATGCTTGTTGGTTGTTATAGCTAGCCTAGGTAATATTGCCTTATTTACCAAGGGTAACTATAACAACAAACAAGCAATCTTCTCAAAATTAAAAAATTAAATCTAATTTATATAAATTATTTAAGACAATGTTCTGAAAAGTTATAAGGTAATTTTATTTTTATATTTTTCTAACTGAACGATAGAACTAAATGGGAACTTAATGTGAAAAAAATTATATTAAGTCAAATTAATAGTCCTTTAATAAGTTAAATTATTATTGAGCAATCTATGAAGTTATCTATCTTTTTGCTTGAAAACATTGGCATATGAATTTTTTGAATGGTCACACAAAAGCAGTGAACGGCTATGGGAAAAATGAAGTACGTTAGAATAGAGGATAATTATTTTTTGAAGATACCTTATTTTGACAAGACAATATTAAATAATTATAAAAAAATATTTAAAAAAGTGCTCATATGATGCACGTCTATACATAAATAAGACATGGAATACACCTAAGCAAAACTTACAATAATGAAAAAACAAATATTTTTTTATAAAAAATTAAAATTTTTTATAAAAAAATTTTTTATAAAAATTTTTATAAAAATTTTTTATAAAAAATTAAAATTTGCTTTTTTTTTTATAAAATTTTTTATAAAAAAAAAAGCAAAAAAACTCAACAAAAATATTATCAACATACAAAACAAAACATTGACCAAAAATATGCATATAAAATGTAAGGCCTCATTTGAGCAAAAACATTAACGGTAATGTGTAAACATAATATGTGTAGCAATTAAGGTATAAACATCTACTTGGAATTGTGTCTGTTATTATTGGCACTTCGATGACGGTCACCACAAATAATTAGTTTATCCTGTTAGACAAATCAATTCCAATTATGCTTTGCCGCCCGCGACTTATGCCTGTTCCATATTGCAGTAAAAAAAGACTCCTTAAAACAGCCAAAATCCATTTGTAAAGCATCAATATTTTTTTGATGATATTAAAAGTGTAGATCTACTAAACAATATAATAAAAATAACTAATTAAATCACTTACCATACCACCAAAAGAAGGCATGAAAGCACAATAAATTAAAGTTGTAAACTCTAATGCTGTCATAGATACCTTATTTAAATTATGCTAACCAATCAAAAAGAATAAGAAATGAGTAACTTGCGCAACCCAAAATTATTAGAATAATTAAATATCAATGATAGCGAAAAACTTTGGCACAAAAATCATTAAAAATGTCACCCACAAAAATGTAAACATATAGTAAAGGAAACATATAAGAAATTCTCTGAATAATAATTAAAAAAGAAAAATTGTGCATGTAAAAATTTAAAAAAAGAGTAATGAATGTAAGAAAATGTAGCATAAAATATATCATAAGCTGAGTAATGAATGTGAGAAAATATAGCACAATAACTCCTCCATAATAATAATGATATGAAAAGCAGCAGATAAATAATATGTTAATAAATACTGTAAAAAGACTAATTTAGTACTGAAATAAGAGTAAGCCTAATAAATGATTAAAAAAAATCTTTTTAGGTGATATAATATTGATATAAAAATGATGTAAAAAGTAGGGAAAAATATTGTTTAAAAATAAAGTTTTGTGAAAAGTATCTTTGAGACGAAGTCGAAATTTCTAAAAAGTAAAATTCCTTCTATGGCCTGAATTAGCGTCATTTTGAGACCATAACAAAATAACACAAAAAAACATACATGAACAAAGCAGTCAAAAGTCGTTAGTAAAAAAAAATTGCTTTTATATATATTTATGATCTCTAAAATCAAATCTCAATCACACATGATAACCACTTATATGTAACATACAATCTATATCTACATTCCAACTTCGTACTATTAAAAAAAAAACTGTTTAAATAAGGATGAGTTCAAACAAACTGTATAGTTTTCAAACTAAACTTTTTATAGTTTATGTATAAAAACAAAACAACAATCATGCAAAACAATGTAACCGCTGCATCTTCATTCGGATGAATAGGTGTAATGTCCAAGTGTAAGTCCAGGCCTAACATAACAAGTTATGAGATTTTGTTACATAACAAAAAGGTGTCAGGCTAGTAAATGTAACTTTACTCAATAAAGGTATTTACATCGTTAAAAGTTTAATTGCGTCAGTTGCATATTTTAAAATACCTTATTGTAATCATAGTTCTAAAAAAGAATAGTTTGGAGGCGAACAATAGCATATTGTTTTAACTTTCCGGCATTCCGAACCTGCAGAAAAAGGTTGTTGTTGCTAACGTTTGCCTGTTATTTTACTAAGTTGTATTTGTGTTTTGATTGAAATAAATTTTCTTGATATGGCTGGTGAAAATTGTGCAATATTTGGTTGTTCAACCTCAAGAAGACACAAAGGTATCAACATTTCAAAGTTCGTACTCCAACAAATGATGCAAATAAGAAATGTTCATTTTCAAAGTTCCTACTCCAACTAATGATGCAAATAAGAAATGGAGTAATGTCCTTATTAACGTAGTTACTAGAGACAGTTTCATTTATGATTCTTTGAAAAAACGAATTGATTCTTTTAATCTTTATATTTGTGAGCTTCACTTTACAGTGAAACAGTCGGAAATGTTTTAAAGCAGTTTGGACCACCAAAAAGCTGCTGGAACAGCAGAATTATGTTTAATGATGGATATGTTTTTTGATTGTCTAAATGTAAAAAATAGTGCTAAATATATAATAAAAAGATAGCCATTTTTAAAATCATATGAAACAGTAGATGATTCACGATTTACTTGGTTAGATGACTTCCTCCTATACTTTAAATTGTGAAAAAAATCTATAGATCAACGACAAGGAAATTTTGACGAGAGCTCAAAATCAAAAATGTTTATTTCTTCACAAACTTATGAAGGTTTGCAAATTACAGAGCAATTCATTCAAAGAAGTTCAATTTGTCTTTTCTGAGAGATTCTGCCAAGATAACCTTGAAAGCTTTTTTGGTAGACAACGTCCAATTGGACGCAGAAAAGATAATCTGTCTATCAGAGATTTTGACTACAACGACAATACAATCAAGTCGCAGTTTTCAGTTCGTCCAATTAATGGTAATGTTCAATCTAACAGCAATGATATCATAGATATTGAAAATAATCCTTTACCAAAAAGAAAAAGAAAGTCGTTAGTTCAAATTAAAAGTCAACATTAAGCTCTTTATTTTCATTATTGATTAAAAAAAAAAGGTTATTTTCAAAACGACAAAATGTTAAAAGCATTATTTGTCATTTATGAGGACATTATGACCAATCAGTCAGCCAATATAGACTATTTGGACCAGTCAGCCGCAGTGGCACATACAAAGGGGAGTGGAGGGGGTAACTACTTCTAAGAAATTTCAAACTTCTAAATATTATTGATACAATTAAAAAATTCAATGAAAAACGCTGGATCAAGGAGGAGGGATAGGGGGACTATAGCCCCGGGCCCCGCAAATTCAGGGGCCCCAAAAATTTTTTGAGAACCTTTTTTTTTTAAGTCACTTTTAGGCTCTGGCTCATAAAAAAGCCTCTAAAAACAACTAATAGCTTCAAGAAGTTTTAATCCACCACTCCTAGGAGGACAATAAATAATTTTCAATAGCAAAATAATAAATTGCTGGGTAACACGTACACTTAATAAACCAATAAATTTAATAACTGCATATATCTATATATAGTGTCAGGTTAGGTTATCCAATCATGCTGAAGTATATACAGTTATATATACTATTTGTAGCGTCAGGTTAGGGTATCCTAGCATGCTGAAGTATATACTGTTTGTAATTATTCCTTGCTATATATATATATATATATATATATATATATATATATATATATATATATATATATATATATATATATATATATATATATATATATATATATATTTTAGCATGTTTACATATATGTTTCCACACTTATGTGGTTTGGATGGTTATCCAAAGTGACATAAATATGCCACTATGAAAGAATTGAAGCAATTTTTTACAACCCGATGCCCTCCCTGGCATTATCACGAAGACATTAGCAGTATCGGGAACATTTTAGTGTACCTAATAACTTTTTGTCCTCGTAAGTACCGTTTTTTTTGTAAAAAAACGTCCCCGTAAATAGCTTTTATGCAAAGCGAAAAGTACATACATCGACTGACAAATAGCTTGACTCGCAAAAGAGTGCTGCTACATCGATATATATATATATATATATATATATATACATATACATACATATATATATATACATCGATGTATATAAATATATATACATACATATATATATACATATATATTTATACATATACATATATATATATATATATATATATACATATATATATATATAATACATATGTATAAATATATATATATATATATATATATATATATATATATATATATATATATATATATATATATATATATATATATATATATATATGTATATATATATATATATATATATATATATACATATATATATATACATATATATTTATACATATACATATATACATATATATATATATATACATATATATATATATATATATATATATATATATATATATATATATATATATATATATATATATATATATATATGCGTATATATATATGCGTATATATACATATATGCATATATATATATACCTATATGTATATATATATATATATATATGTATATATATATATATATATATATACATACATATATATATATATATATATATATATATATATATATATATATATATATATATATATATATATATATATATATATATATATATATATATATATATATATATATATATATATATATATAATATAAGATTTATTACTACCTCGATGTTACGTTAAATCTAAGTAACGATACGTTTCAACCATATTCTAAACCTGATAATCAAATAAGGTACATCCACTCTAATTCTAACCACCCTTTAAGCATAACAAAAGCAATCCCTCGCAATACTGAATTATCTTCCATGTCAAGTAATGAAATATTCTTCAAAAAGGCTATTCCACCGTATGAAGGGGCTTTAAAAAAATCGGGATACAAATCGAACCTTACCTACCAACTACAAATAATCTCAAGTCAAAATCAACAAAAAAAGCAACGTAAACGTAATATTATTTGGTATAACCCTCCCTTCAGTTTAAACGTCAAAACAAAAATAGGAAACCCTTTTCTAGCCCTTATTGACTTACATTTTCCAGCCGGCCACAAGCTACATAAAATATTCAACCGAAATTCCATTAACATTAGCTACAGTTGCATGCCTAACTTAAAATCTATCATAAATTTGCATAATTTCAAAATTTTACACAACAAAAATCAATTAAAAACCAACCAATGTAACTGCGTAGATAAGGCATTTTGCCCTTTGAATAATCAATGTTTATCTAACAATATTGTCTATCAAGCAACCGTAAGTTCCAGTCATCATGATTGTAATAAAAAAGTATATTTTGGCATTAGTAATACACCATTTAAACTAAGATACGCAAACCATCTCAAATCATTTGCATCTATAGAAATGACACAGAACTATCTAAGGAGGTATGGAACTTAAAACACCAAAACATAAAGCCCATTATAGAATGGAAAATTGTCAAACGTTGTAAACCTCACAATCTAGCAACAAAAATATGCCACCTTTGTCTATACGAAAAATATGTAATTTTATCACATAATGGAAAAAACCTATTTAATAAAAAAAACGAAATCGTATCTTAGTGTTGACATTCAAAAAAATTCCTCTCATCTTTATTTGACACAGGGGACTATAACGGCTTTTTGTTTTTTGTTTTTTTATTTGTTTTTTACGCAGATGTGTTTATAACGTCAGATGTCATTCTACGGTAATTTTTACGTTTTTGTAACGGTTTGTTTACGTTTTTTGTTTGTCTGATGATTGCCTTTGGGCATGAAACTTTAAGTCCCGCTAATCAGTTGTTTTTATTCATCTAAATATAATTATATATATATATATATATATATATATATATATATATATATATATATATATATATATATATATATATATATATATATATATATATATATATATATATATATATATATATATATATATATATATACACATAAATATATACACACACACCAGAGGTGTACCCTGGGGTTTTTTCCAAGTATTGACTAAAATATATTTTATAAAATATATTGAATTGCTTCAATAAATTTGACTTTAAAGTTCTTACATTTAATTGATTTTCAGAATATATTGAAACTGAAAAATCTACATCTAAAAAAAAATAAAAAAGATATAAACAATATTCTTATTTCGTTGTCAGCTAAATATTTCAATTATTTGATATTTTTTAAAATTTTGAAAGTATTGGTGAACAGCCCTTGGATTTAGGGTCAGCATTTGGAAAAGCTGACCTAACCGTCAATATTAAAGTGTTTGTCGTTGGCAATTTTTTGCCGACCTTGATACTTTACGTTTCTACTTTTTATGATGGAACTTTTGTGAATAAATGTAATTGCTGACCTGATGCCAACTTAAAACAATTTAAGATCGGCAATTTTTCGCAGACTTTAGTTTTTTTCTTTCTGAGTGTTGAGCGTTTGAATAATAAAAAATAACTTATTCCTACAACTTGTTGCTACAAATATTAAATGAAAAGTAAATATTGATTGAATACCAGTCTTACCAGTCGTACAATATGCTTCTGGTGAGCTACAGAAACGTTTTTTATCTCTAAAAAGAAAAGAAAAATTATTAATTATATAGTAATAAGTAATAATGGTAAATAAGTTTAAATAAAAAATCAAAAAAAAAAAAAAAAAGAAAAAAAAAAAAAACATAAACTTTGTATTACCTTTCAGAAATGTAAGCACTCAGAGCTACTTCAGCCTAAATCAAGAATAGGCAAAAATATCATTACAAATTGTATTATTAAAATTTATAATAACGAAATATAAAATAACATTATTTAATTATATAAATAAATAATATTTAATTATATAAATAAATAATATTTAATTATATAAATAAATAATATTTAATTATATAAATAAATAACATTTAATTATATAAATAAATAATATTTAATTATATAAATAATTATTCAATAGAATAAAAAATTGAAAAACGAAGATTTAAATATTCAGATTTTAGATCACCTTTATTCTTGACACATTACTAGCGTTAGCAAATAAAAATACAATTGATTCAGGCATTAAAACTTTAAATACATAGTCACTATCCTAAAAAGATCATTACATATATGACAAAAATTAATACTGGAAAATGGAGTATTATTCAAACAATGAGTTTAAAATTTGTTTTTGACTTTGTTTAGAAATGAATAATTGAATAATATTCCAGATTATGATTACCTTCAACTTGTTAAAAGCTAAAACAAAAGCATTAAAAAGATCATGTGATTGATCTTCTGACAAAAGACTAAGAAGATCTCCGTTAGAAAGATTTTCTAAATAAATAAATAGAAATGCAAAAACATTTCAAATAATCAGAAAAAAAAAAAAATAAAACAAATGAAATAATAGAGTGTTAAGTCCTATATTTTTATATAATACAAACTTTTATCTTCTCCACCAGCAATAAACCAGTTATGTCTGTAACTGTATAACTAAACATAAAATACAAAAATATTATTTAAGGATTTAGCATTAGTAAGTTGTTATTAATTTTGACTAAAAGTCGATTAGTTGAAGATAAAACTATTTGATTTCAAGTATTTAAAATTGAATACTTGAATAAAAATAAAATATTGCAAAAGATTTACATTAAAATATTACTCATCATTTTGTTTCCAAACTGATGTTTGAACAACTCACAATAAATAAACAAATGTTGAAATATATTTTTAAGAACACAGTATTTAAAGAACTCTGTAGACTTTAAAGTTTGTTTTAGGTATAGACAATAAACGTTTTATGATAAAAGGATAAACAATAACGCTTATTTACTCAACTAGATTATTTGCTTACTAGTAAAGAAAGAAAATTTATAATAGAAGAGATAATTAAATAGTACCCTGAGCTGGCAAAAAGTATATTTGAATCTGCAATCCTACTGCTACGGCAATTGATAAATCACAATAACAGAAGCGTGCTATCCTACTGAGCTATCCGAGCTTAAGTAAGATACTTACAAACTTAAGAAAGATACTTACTTGACCAGAATAAAAAGATTTTAGCAATTGAGAAGATGCTATTTCCATAATACTTTTCTTTGTAAACAAATTCAATCCTATAAATATTTAATTATATCCTTGTTTTTATTAGAGTTATTAAAAAAAATTACCACCATAAAATAAAGTAGACTGTATTGTAGATCTTCCACTCACATCTAGACTTAATATTTAAAAAAAATTTCAAACAACTTAGAAGATTGAATTGAAATCTAATACCTGTGAACCTATCAAAATTGTGATCCAAAAATAAAAATAAAAATTTATTTTCGGATCCCAAAATTGTGATCCAAAAATAAAAAATCTCTTACTGAGTCATCATTTAATAAAATCTTTACTTTTTGATTTACTTTAACTGCCAATTTTATGAGTTCTTGCTTTAGACTATATTTATTGAACATAATTTTTTTATCGATATATTTACACATCAAAGTGTATCAATAATTATAAACAAATACGAAGAAAAAATGTATACCTGTTGTAACAAACATATTCAAGTCTTCAATATCACTTGAACTACCTTGAAAGAAAAAAAAGACATTTTAAATTATAAGACAAATTTTAATCTTGGTTTGTTTTAAATAGAAAACAGAAAAAGTGAAAAAATAAATAAAAAATTTTATACTTAAACATTGACTACAAATAATGGATCCATCATTAACTGAAAATTTGTTGCACAAAGTACATGGTATTTTAGAAGTGTAATCTGTCTAAAAAAAAAATTATTAGATTGTTATCCTTTTGTAAATTAGTATATATTATATAGTACATATATATATATATATATATATATATATATATATATATATATATATATATATATATATATATATATATATATATATATATATATATATATATATATATATATATATATATATATATATATATATATATATATATATATATATATATATATATATATATATATATATAAGTAAAGGAATTTGTTCAGAGAAAATTTTTTTTTTGAGGGAGGGGGGAGAAGAAAGATGCTTAAATTTTGTTTTCCTGAAATTTAATGTCTTAATCAAGACATTAAACTGATCTTTGGACAAGTGATATAAATAAAATTCATATTGAAGAAATGCTGGAGTTTTTTTTTTAAATCTAATGGGCTTGGTTTAATCATTTCCAACATGTATGACAAGTTTAATTGAAAAATATTTTGTAGCAGATAACTAATTTTTATCACATAAACCTAATTTACGTACTATATATATAAATATATATAGCACGTAAAGTACTATATATATTTATATATATAGTACGTAAATATATAGTACACTATATACATTATATATATATTATACACTATATATATATATATATATATATATATATATATATATATATATATATATATATATATATATATATATATATATATATATATATATATATATATATATATATATATATATGTTTGTAGAAATAAGAATACGCATACCTAACTTAAATACTTAACAAAATAAACAACCTCCCGGTTTTTTGGTGCTAAAAAAGCTAAAAAACTTTTTAAAAAATATCTTGCTGTTTGTCAGTATAAATATATGTATATATGAGCTTACATGATTAAGCTTGTGAGATTAAAAATCTCAATAGGCTATTCAGATTTTTAATCTCTCAAGCTTAATCAGTTAAAATGAGCTATAGTCAATTACAACAATTACTGTTTACAATACAATTATAATAATTAGCTACATTTTGACTAGCAACATGAATAACTGTTTTGTTTGTGTGTTGACAAAAAAGAAAGATGCCCATCCAATTTTTTTTTTTGGGGAAGAGATTAAAAAACTGTAAATCAATTTCTGAGAAAACAATAGTTTTCTGAGAAAATTTATGAGAAAACAATAGTTAATAGTCAATTTCTGAGAAAACAATAGTTTTCATTTTTGGGGGAAGAGATTAAAAAACTGTAAATCAATTTCTGAGAAAACAATAGTTTTCCCAAACCAGTTTTTGTCATAATATACGAACAAAACAAGTTGAATAAAGCTTTTTGGTTATTTAATAAAAAGGTCATTGTGTAAGATTTTGTATTTATGTCTGGTGTTAATTATGACATAATTTATGTCAGGAGATACTGTCATAAATCTTTAACTTTACATTACTAGTGTTTTAGAACTACCAAAGCTAATTAGAATGATTAGGCATTTTTATATATATATGTTTACTTGCAGTATATAGAATATATAAACTGCTAGTATTCATAAATCTACTAGAGTATAATTATTTTATTGACTATATAATATAGTCAATAAAACATATATAATATACTATATTAGAAGTATGTACTATATTAGAAGTATGTACTATATTATCAGTATGTCATATAATAGTACTATACTATATTAGCAGTATAATATACTATATAACTAATATAGTATATTTTAGTCAATAAAAATAAAAACAAAATAACAAACTATTTCTCTTACCAATAGTTCTTTGTAAGTTTCCATGACAGTAAATATGAGGCAAATACAAATTTATATGTACAATTTATATATATATTTTATATTAGGTTATTATATATTTTATATTTTACAAAAAATGCAAATATAAGTTACCACGAGGGAAAAATTTTAAAATAAGAATCTAGCGATATTACGCGCATGCGTACATAAACTGCCGGGCATGTAGAGGTTTTACGCTTTTACTACCCGGCTGCCGGGCATGCAGACACTTTGATATATATATATATATATATATATATATATATATATATATATATATATATATATATATATATATATATATATATAAAATTATATATTATAGTATATATAATTATATATTATAATATATTATAAGTTATAGTATATTATATTATAATATATATTAAAATTATATATATATATATGTATATATATATATATATATATATATATAGGTATGTCACATGAAAATTTTAAATTCATCAAATTATAGGTTGTTATATATCATTAAAAAGAGCTTAATGTCAATATTATAAAAGTGAAAAAATTTTCAAAATTGAACCACCCTACAAAAAGTTATGACGTTTTAAGTACCGATTTTTTGATATTAGGATTTGTTGAAGAAACTGTGGTCAAAATAAAGTTTTTATTAACTAAAATTATTATAACTTAACCAATTCTTATCCAAATGTTTATATCTTGGTATCAAAAGATAGATACAAGAGTCATCTACAAATTTATAAAAGTTTCTAGATAACGGGCGCATCCGGGGGTAAGAGGGGGCACAAAACCACCATCCTTACCGGCAATAAAGACTTACTATATTTATAAAAAAGTGTTTTCTTTTAATGAAAATGTAAATTTTTATATGCAAGATGTTTTTGTAATTAGCTATCAGATCACAATCAAATATAGAAGACTCATCATTGCCTTTGGGTGGATGTAAGGGTGATAGTTTAATACACCCTATTATCAAAAATGACTCTATATAAATATTTATCTTTATAATTAAAAAGAAATCTAGTATTCAAATCAAAAATTTTATTTTACTACTATACAAAATCACTAGCAGCGCACCCTTTGTTTCAAGGGTGTAGATGGGCGAGGGGGCGTGTCGTTGCCCCCCCTCTTCCTTTTTTTTTGACAACCTAAAAAAAAGAAGCTATTTTTAATGAGATTCGAAAAAATATTTAAATGCAATGAAAATAAACACTTTAATTTAAAAACATCTTTTACCAAAACTCAAAATACATCACACAATGCTTTGTGATAGTTATAGATGGTTCCCCCTCTGACCTAAAAAAGAATTTCAAAAACAAAAAATGTTTTATAATATTATTCTAATTAGTTTGCGTCTTGGCTTTTAGTTAATGATTAAGATATTAAATTCCATTAATGAAACTATATATTAAGTATATTACTTCAGTATCATTTTCTTCTCTAGTCCAATAAGAAATAGTGTATATAATATCTTTCTGAGCTTTTTTAAGTTTTTCTACTCTGCCATTATACAAGACTGTCATTGCTGTATCGGAATCATACCATTCATGGCAAAGATTTCTCCCAACAATTCTTTCACACATAACATCATTTAAATCATCAATTTGCTTGGTAGATAAGTTTTTAAACAAATTCAGAATTTCACTAATAGTTAATAATGTTAATTGTTGCTCTAACTTTCTTTTTTCTTTTTCATCAATTTTTTGGCGTTTTATAGTCTGTCTTTTAGAAATCTCAGCTCTAATTTCAGTATGTTGTAGTCGAGTTTTTATTCGTTTTTTACGTGCTGCCTGAATAGACCACTGAACTACCATTTTTCTAGAAAAGTCATCAAGATTATCCAGATAATCCATTGTCCCATTCTTTTTGGTTCGTAATTTGCAAGATATATAATCAATAGATGCATTAGGAGATCTTCCTTTTGCAGCACTGAACATTCCCATTAACTCTTCACTATCTATGTTATGAAGCCTTGCACTAGCTGTTTCTTTTTCAAGTGCTTCTGTAATGGTAATGGAAAAATAGCGCTTATACTGTCGATTTAAAACCACTTCTATTGCATTGAGGCAAGCCAAGATCATGGCAATGAGCTCGTCATCAATTCTACATATTTTTGTTAATGGTTCTAACACATTTGCTTTGAGAGCATTTCCAAAAAAATCTGTTGTTCTGCAAAATATTGCAGCTGGATTGCATTTGCAGTCTTTAATTGTTTGCACAACATTTTTAACAATCTGGATACCACCAACATGATCAAAATATGCTTTCTCAGATGACACATAAAACATTGTCATCCACGGCCCTGTAAGAAGTTTTCCAAATAAAGCAAGTAGACACATTTGCTTTATAGCAGTTGTATTACAAAATGCTACTCGCAGAACCCTTTGTAAAGTTTTTATTTTTACTGTTCCTATAGTTAAAAAATGTAAAAATTTGTTATAATGTTTTATAAAAATAAAACAAGTGTGGAACAGAATGTGAAGGCGATTTCCACGATACCTTGGAATGATACCTCGTGGTAGTTTATTATTGTCTAAAAAATTAACAAATCCCTTTGGGTCACCTTTACCATCTTTGAACCTCATCTTATTCATAGCCAAAACAATTTTTGCAGCTATACAATCATTTCCATATAATTCGCAGCTATCAAGCTCTAGAGACTTTAATGCTGAACGACACGATGTGGCAATTGTGTCAAGAGGGTGCAAATGACAGTTTAATTCATTGAGACTTTTACCCCAAGTTTCACCAATTTTTCTTATTGTAAGATGGTTAACAGATACTCTGTCCGACATTGTGTTTGAAATATTTGATATGACCATACGACGACATTCTTCAAAGGGTTTCAAGTGAAAGTTTGAATATACTAAAGCTGTATGATCCACTTCGTTACATATATGGTTCGCATAATCCACAGCTGTCCCACCTGGTAATTGATCAACAGCAATTACCTGGCATTTATCATTTGAAGTTAAGTGAATACTGTTGATATGAACACCTTCTTGTGTAGTTGCGTCAAACCCAAGAGTAAGATGAGTATTACTAATGATCCATTCAGCTGCCTGCAGATCAGCAATACTGCCAAGCTCACGAGCCATTTGCTCAATAGTGCTACGACAAGGAATGTGAGAAAAAATAACACTGAAATATTGCCCAATTTTGCTTACTAGAAATGGAATGTTACTTGTTGGGACATTACACAATAACATGCAGTATATTATCATTCTCATTTTTAATGGATAGCTTTTACAATCAGTTGTATTTGTAATACTTATCTTGTCTTCGTCCATTTGGGTCAAACTATCTTCTAAGCTAGTAATATCCGTATTATTTTTTCTAATCGCAGCATTATGTTTGAGAGCTAACTTTCTAAACTTTTCTCTCTCTTTAATTTTTATTGCTTTTTTTGATGCAATAAGATTGCGAATTTGCCTGCTGTAATAATATGTTTGGTTTTTATGTTTTAAGTCTCTAACCTGAGCTCTTAAGGCTTTTATAATATCTTCTTTTTTTTTAACACTTTGCCTTAGAACTTTTAATTTATATGGCAGGCTGGATAATTTTGCTTTCATTGAAGCTATCTTCTTACGATTTTCTATTGAAGAAATTGCTAATCTAGAAGACAAATGAGACAACCGGTTAGTTAATTTTTTCTTCCTAGGGCTCAATTTTTCTATTGAAGTCTGTCTAGTAGTTAAATTTGCTTCATGTCCAGCAGAACATGAAGGTTCATTACGTATCAGAGATGTGACACTGCTGTGTTCTGACAATGATAAAACAGAAGAATGTGATATTGTGTAATTAGTGTTACTTAAGATAGGCTGCGATAAAATTGTAATCAGTGGTTCACGGTTTATAAAGGGCTCATTACAAAATGCAACACAACTTTCATATTTTCTTAAAAAATTTTTAGACCAGTTTTTGGCTATGTACACTACTTTTTTGATATGACTGGAGCAAATATTCAAGTTAAAATGCTCATTGACTTTTGCAGCTGTTTTGCTAAACAACTCACCATTGCTAGTATAAAGAAACAGAACGTGTCCATTCATGCACCCAATATTTGTGTTAGATGGCAATGTAAAATTACTAATTAAATGTTTTTTGAATTCTCCTTTAAATATGTGTCGACCCATTATACCATTAAAGCATTAAATAGTTACAACTGATGAGTTTCTTAATAAATTTAGAAATGTAAAACAAATCAAAAAAAAATAATATTTAAATAATAGGTTACAAGTTTATTTGTCTTAAATATGTATATCACTAAAAAAAAGTTAAATGATCCTTACCACTCACTTTGACACTTACAATAACAGTACCTGTTTGCCACTCAGAATAACTGGTACGAATTTTGCAAGTCAAAATATTTCCATATTAAGTAATAACCATGAGATATATTAGTTTAATATTTAAAAAATCTAAAGAAAAAATAATTGTATATTTATTTTTGACAATATCAATAAATATAATAAATTAATATATGTAACTATGGTATTAATATATGTAACTAAACCAAAAGTTATATCAATATACATACAACATAGTTATGACCAAAAAGTAAACATGTAGCCCAATAAACTATTTGAAAATTAAGCAAAAATTAATTGTATTAAAATTACACTTTTCTTGCGTTAGTATTAGTATTTTGAAACCAACAATTAAAAGTATTATAAAAACTACTAAACAGGTAAGTAAATTAAAAAAATTTAATCAATTTTGTTGTAAAAAGCTATTGAAGCAAACATAAAACAAAAATATTTTTCAAATAAATGTTTATTTAAAAAAAAAAAACATTACAATGTCTATAATTAGTGTAGATAGTACCTGTAAATAGCTTTTCACATAAATACTACCATTTACTACAATACACATACAATTTCATTGTATGATTATAAAATATTTTTATTTTCATTTTCAATTTGTTTATTAGTTATCTTTTATGCAAATAGTATTTTTTGTAGATAAGATGAGTGAAGAGATTAATTTTTAATTAATATCTTCACTCATTTTATCTAAAAAAAAGTAATATATAACATTATTAAAAAGTTTACAAAGTTTTATTTTGTTAAACTTAAAAGAATTTTAATTGTGTTGCACCCCCCCCCCCCCTTTGCCCGCAAATGATTTCAGATTAAGGAAAATAGGTACCAAAAGTGCGCCCCAAAATAGACTGCCTGCGCCCCATTTTTTTTCAACGAAATTTGGCAGACAAATAAAAAATGTGTAAACTTAAATGGCTGCAAAAGATAGTTAATTGCTGTCCATATCTTCAATATTTGCTGGATGCACAAAGTACAACAAAGTTTTGTATGTCAATAAATCAACTTACAAAGTACGTAATAGTAATCAAAAGACACATATTAATAAAGTATAATCATTCTAGTTTTTAAAAAATATCTATGTTAATATGAAATTCTAAAAAACAAGGCAACAAAACACTGCACAACCTACCTCTCCAAATGTGAACTTCAAAAAGCGTGGCACAGAATTTTAGCACATTTATCGGTTCCGTAAAACGCGGATATCGGCGTACCTAATATATATATATATAAATATATATTATTTTATATTATATTATATTATATTATATATATATATATATATATATATATATATATATATATATATATATATATATATAAATAAATATATATTATTTTATATTATATTATATTATATATATATATATATATATATATATATATATATATATATATATATATATTATATATATATATATATATATATAATATATTATATATTATAATATAATATATTATAATATATATTATAATTATATATATATATATATAATATATCATATATTGCTCAATATTACTGAATAATAGAGCTATATATAATTATATATATATATATATATATATATATATATATATATATATATATATATATATATATATATATATATATATATATATATATATATATATATATATATATATATATATAATTATATATAGCTCTATTATTCAGTAATATTGAGCACTGTAATATTGAACTTATAATACAAAATCCTATGGTAAACAATCCTTTAAATACTCTGCAATAATGAACTGGAAACAACTTCAAAATAAATTAAAAACAATCCCTTTTTGCAATATTAAAAAATATACTCTCAAAACTAAATTAAAATACTACCTGTTACATCAAGATAAATTGAAACAATAATTGAATCGTTGGTGATAAAAGATTTATGGCAATAGAAGTTAAAAGAGGTATGATATAAATATGAATGTTAAATAATAGCAACCTTATGTGAATGTATTAGCTAGCTTGTTTGTTTCTTTGTTTTTTTTTGTTTTTGTTTTTTTTATGTTTTTTTTTTCTTTCGTTTTTGTTTTGCTCATGGTTGCTCTCCTCGATTTAGCCAGGCTATATGAGAGTGAACCATCCAGAATATAGGCTATACATATATTTTTTTCATTTGTATTTTATAACATGCTTATTGTAAAACATCTATGTTCTTGGTAAATATATTGCTTTTTGTTGTTGTTGTTGTTGTTGTAACACGTACAAGAGACTTTGTATTATTACATCAAAATACTTAACCTCGAATATATTCTGTATATCGAAATCTATACATATATATATATATATATATATATATATATATAAATATATATATATATATATATATATATATATATATATATACATATATATGTATACATATATATATATATATATATATATATATATATATATATATATATATATATATATATATATATATATACATATATATATATAATATATATATATATATATATATATATATATATATATATATATATATATATATATATATGTATATCAAAATCTAAATAATGGTTTAACCAGATGTTTTTTTTTTTTTTTTTAATAATTAGATTTGTCAAGGTCGTCTTTGGAATTGAAAAAGTATTATCTTAAATATTATTGGAAAATTAATGAACATCAACCGCTAATAAAAGCATCTGTAGATGTTGATTTGAATCAAAAATTTGTTGATTTATGTATTGTTGATGCAGTGAATGCTCAAGTGGAACGCTCAAAGGATGCTGTTTTAAGTGTTGAGCGAAAGAAGTTCCTTGAAAAACAAATGCATTATACACCAATACAATATAGTCAAATATTTACGAAAGAAAAATCAGTCTTATTAATATCTGGAATAGCTGGTATTGGGAAAACATGGTTGCTTAGAAAATGTTTGCTTGATTGGTCAAATGGTTTAATTTGGAAAAATATTGAATTTGTTTTTTATTTTGAATGCAGGAGACTTAATCAATATTCAAATATTTCTAATATAAATGAATTAGTAAATGTTTTCCACAAAGATATTGTAAATGACTTTAAATTTAATAGTCATACTACAATGTTTATAATTGATGGATTAGATGAGTTTAAATATTTCAATGAGTTATTAAATCCAAGTTTGACTTGTAACTACCCGATTGTTAATGTTTTAGCAGAAATTCAAAAGTACAATCATGTGATTGCTGGTAGAGTTTATGCAATAGATCAATACCAAAGTATATCTACAGAATATAGTGATAAGTTGACTGTTCAAATAATGGGGTTTAATGAAAACGGAATTAATAATTATGTAGAAAACCATGTTATAGAAGAAAAAAAAAAAGTTATAAAAACAATTTTAAAGGAATCTCCAATTGCAAAAGCAATGGCATCTGTTCCTTTTTATTTATCTTCCATGTGTAAAATCATAAGTGATCCAAAAGATATGGATTTAAATTCATTCTTAACAATGACAGATTTGTATGCAAATATTTTTTTGTACTTTATACGTAAACACATTATTAAAAACAACAAATTTGTATATGAGATTATAGAAGACAGCTCCAATAAAAAATATATTTTAAATATATGTAAAATTGCATATAAAATGTTTGTGAACAATAAAATAGTTTTTTCCAAAGATGAAATTCATGATTTTGTAGGTGACTTTGATAAAAATGAAGATAAGTATTTTGGTTTTATAGAAAAGATTGAAACAGACCTTGGTAGTTATTATCAATTTGCACATTTGACAATAATGGAGTTTTGTGCATCTGTGTATGCATATAATTATTTAAGTAGTGATGAGATTATGGTCAATAAGATGCTTAAGAGTTGTTTATCAATGATTTGTGGATTAGCCAATAAAAACCAAAACAGTTTATTAAAGTTTCTTGTTAACCTGAATCCTTCAAAAAAATCCCATGAAGAATCTTTTATTTTGTATTCTGTTTTGGGTAAGTTCTAATTTTTTCTTGTGTTATTGTGAGCCTATTTAAAATTGGTGTTCAATCAGGTACAAAAGTTGTTCAATAGGGTACAAAAAATAAAGAACTTTTTACTTTTTACTTTTTAATTTTAATTATATAAGGTACTTTTGTTAATAGTAGATTTTGGTCATTTTAAAATGTTTATTTTTGTTTTTTGTTTTTATGTTTATTTTTAGTTTTTGTTTTTATGTTTATTTTTAGTTTTTGCTTTTATGTTTATTTTTAGTTTTTATTTTTAAATTTGAGTTGATAATTAGGTTTTTTTCAGTAAACAAAGCATAATTTGTGATGTATTGGTCTTGAGCAATAATGTCTTGATTTTAGTTTTGAATTTAGTCTTAATTGTTTTGACTAAATGTCTGGTACTCCTAACTTTGCAGATATAGCATTACATACTTTGCAATGAAATAATCAAAGTAACATACTCTGAAAAGAAATAATAACCATTTTACCCTGAAACTCTTTTATCAGATTGTAAGCATCAATTTTATCAGTATTTAGTATTGAAAATGATTAAAATGAACTAAAAAGATTAATAATTTTTACTTGCTAACTTTTTTATTCTGCACAGTTTTTAAAAAAAAGTTTTAAACATTTTAATTAGTTTTTCAGTTTGGTTTTCAGCTGCGTACTGCTGTTGTTTATTTACTGTTTATTTCTGCTTATATTCTAATTTTTTGCTTTAATGAAATAGAATGGAATATTTTTCTTATACATATATATATATATATATATATATATATATATATATATATATATATATATATATATATATATATATATATATATATATATATATATATATATATATATATTTATAACTATCTTTTTTCAGTTTGGTTTTCAGCAGCGTACTGCTATTGTATGGCTTCATAAAGATAATTGATATAAAATACCCTCATTAGTACCAGACATTTAGTCAAAAAAATTTTGACTAAATGTCTGGTATTATATATTTTTCATAAACTTTTAAAATACATCTATTTATCTTTTAATAGATGCATTTTAAAAGTTAATGAAAAAAATTAGTTATTGCAATTTTTATATACATTTATTGATTTTAACTGACTTTACGATAAATACTCTAGAATGCAGGGTAAGCAAAATTATACATTTAAAAAAATCTTTCTATAAAACAATGCTTACCACATATAAAAAGTTTCATCTTTTAGATTTATTTTCTTTCTATTGATTTATAAATTATTTCAAAAGATATTTGCAGAAATAACTTGACTGAACATTTTTTTCTAATGGATTTTTTGTAAACTATTTTACTTTTATTGGTTTCTGTTTTATTTTCTTATTGACTTATGGTTAAAGTTAATACTGTTGCTTGTAATAATGTGACTTCTATTGATGATTTATTTATTTTATATTTTTTATAGTTTTGTAGGTTTTATCATTTGATTTTATTAAAAAAAAAAAACAATTGTTTTATCTATTTTGTTTTTGGAATGGTATAAATTAGTATTTTGTTTTTGGTATGTTTCAGAATGTTAGGCATGTTTTCTAAAAAATATTAAATAAAATATTTTTTGTCTAATTTCTTTTTTTTTTTATAAGAAAAAGTAATTAAATTCATTGTGTGATGATTGCTTGCCTTATAAATGCTGAAGGTGGTTATATAAATTTGGCTATTTTTAGATGAGACTTTTATAGTTGTGTGTGTTTGTTATTTTTCTTAATTTAGAGTTAATTTAAAGGCTCTTCTTTAGGAAAAAAAAAAATCATAAAATTCACAATTTGTTTGCCTAAATCTCATATATGTAAAAAGTATATAGGTAAACAAAAATTATTACAAAAAAGCCTAAAATAAAGTCATCATTAAATATTTTATAAAAATTGAATTCAAGAAATATTTATGACTTATGTTCACTTTTATAAAGCTTTTAACAGTTAACTTTTTCTTTTATTCAAATTTCTTTAAAACGCCTGTAACATGTAAAATTCTTTCTCACCTTGTAAGAAATAAAAAGAGTTAGTGAGAAAAAAAAATATTATCATTTTCCTACTCTAAAAATACTCTTAGAGAGCGAAAATTGTTTTGATTAACATTTTTAAAATCATTTGATATAAAACAAAAATAACACACAATAAAGTGATCAATAATTTCTAAAAATTGTGTAGTTTATTATTTTTATATATTGTTTTTATTTGTATAAGTGTAAATTTTGTATGCTGAATTTAAATCTTTAATCAATTTTTATGGTTAAAAATTTTTTTTATAAACAACATCGACTTTAAACAACAATAAAATTAAAAATAATTTTTTTTTTTTATTATGAAACTTTTCAATTGTTATGTTCATTTCTTATATTTGCTCCTTCAAAGTAATAATTTATATATATATATATATATATATATATATATATATATATATATATATATATATATATATATATATATATATATATATATATATATATACATATATACATATATATATATATATACATACATATATATATATATATATATATATATATATATATATATATATATATATATATATATATATATATATATATATATTTTGGGTAGTCAGTTTGAGGAAATTTTCAAATCTAAAATACCATACACTCTAGATTTGGGGCAAATATTAAAAAAACAACTGCCAAAAAAATTGAGCTCAACAGGACCACTTTATCCTTACCCCCTGAGCACTTTTTTAGAAAAAAAATTCTCAAAAACCTTCAAAAAGGAAGTTTAATTACAAAAATTAAAAATTTTTTTTTTTTTGGATTGCTCATTTTTACCTATATATTTGAGTAAAAATATATGGTATCATAGTATTGTTAAAAAAATATTTTTATTTTTGTATTTTGAATTGAAAAAATTACAATATTTGATGATAGTTTCATGTTATTGGATTACATTTCAAGAGCAAGTAATTTTAGTTGTGTTCATGTTCATTTTCACCACTTTTCTTCCTTTTATTTAGAGAAGATAAGCTTTCAATAAATTTACTTTTAGTAAATTTATTGAAAGCTTTTCTTTTGAACGTCTTCCAGGTGTTCTGAAAGCACACCAAACTTTTTCAACAGTTAGCAATGTATTCTGTTTATCTTCCTCATTGTTGTATCTGTAAATAAATTGCTGCATCATTCCAACAGATCTTTCTGAATGATCATTTACTATAATTAAAGATTTGGCAAAATTCTGAAAGTTTTTAAAAACAGATTGGGTAAACCATTACTCAGGGGGAAGCGAAAGCCAATCTTTTATCCTTTGTTCCTCTAATCCAATTATATCAAATATAAGATATGAAAATTTGTCAACCAACAGAGCAAGGGAATAAGGATTTTCACTAATTTCTTTTCCCATTTTTGTTTTATCTTCTATATCTATTTTTGATTTAATTTTAGTATTGTACCAAGTTGAAATTGGCATTTTAAAAGTTATAATTACTTTTGCAAGGTTTGCTTTTTCCTCAAATGACAAATCATCATCCAACAGAACGAGGGGAATAATTGTTGCATCTAAATACCAACTATGTCTGTATAGAGAGTTTAAAACTGCATCGACATCATCTGGTTTGGCACAAAGTTTTCGATACTGTCGCATTTGGTGTATTGCTTTTATATCTAGAAAAGGAGCTTTAATAGCGTCATTAGCCTGTAAATACCATTTGGCATAAAAGCAAACTATAAATTCACTTATTAGTCTTATAATTCTGTCTTGAGTTTATTGTTCTGATTTACGAACTCAATTTGGCTGGATAGAAGCTGTAGTATGCTTTAGGTAGTAAAGGGCTTTGGAAAGGAACCTAGCATGATGAACTGCTCTGGGTTTTCTAAGTGTTACTGAAGACTGAGAAAGGTAACTCACAACAAGTTCTGCAAGCTCCTTTCTATCTTCTCTGATAAAATCTTTATTTTCTTTTCCTTTTGTAATGTATTCTTGACAAAAGTTCAAAGACTCTCGTGCAGCTTTCTCAAGAAAGGTTCCCCTTACTGCTTTCCAATCAAACTTTATAAGTTCTGTTTGATTGTAATTAAAATAAGGACATTCAAAAACAGTTTTTAATTTTTTAAACATAGGATTATCTGGCCCTGTGAAATGTTCATCTGAAACTGAGTTACAAAAATGAACCATTCTTAATTCACATACATGATGTCTGCATGCAATAAGTAAAAGATATTTGCCTATATTGTTGGATATTCTTATTAAAGAACCTTTTTTTAACCCAGTGTTACTTGCAGTAGTATCAAAACATATTCCTCTTATTTTGGATTCAAGGTTGTATTCCTTAAGAATGTCTATTACACCATTGCACTGATCTTCACCAGAGGATGACGCTAAAGGTGGTACTCCAAGTAGGTGTGTCTCACCTTCAATATTAACAAGTACAGCCAGTCTATCGGTTTTAATTGTTTTTCCTTTGTTTAGTTCAACTAATGTTTTGCCATCAAAATGTACTATGCATGGGTATGGAGATTCATTCATTGCTTGTTGAACATCTTTTGATATCATGCACATATTACGATTGGCATATTTCATTTTTCTAGCTGCTGTAGACTGGCTACATTTGAAATCTGTCAGATCAGCTCCTGATTGAGTTAGAATTGCACCTGTAACTTTATGCAAAACATTTGGAGAAATATCACTAATTGTAGCCATAAGGGCTACATTACCAGCAAAAATATCTGTGGGAATTTCAGCAGTGAACTTTTGTTGAAAAGGTTTTCTTTCAAACCACTCTCCAGGGATAAAATCAGAATCACGCGAGAAGTCCTCACTAGTATCTGTATCAACATTAGTTGTACCCTCTACTTCTTTATATTGTTGTTTCACACGCTGCTACTCACTCTTTCTGCTACTCACTGTTGCCTAAAAATGTCAAAAGAATTTAATAATTAATAATTTAATTTAAATATATGAGAAATTGAAATTGTGAGGAATTTTTCTTTTGAAATTTTTTTTGAAGAGGACCAGCAAAAATAGTGGCTTTTTTTTATGTTCTTGGC